AAGATAATGAAGGAGTTGAAATGAAACATGCCCTCATTAGATTGTATTAAAATCCTTCAATGTAAAAAAATTCTGCTCATATAACTTGGGTGTTAATTGGAAATAATAAAATATTTAAAAATATTATATCAAATCCTGTTCAGTTTGTGTACAAGTAGGATGATTATTCCCAGTAAGCATAAATTGACCTCCAACGTGCAGCACTTGTGGTTGATATAAATGAAAATTTATTGCTAATGCTCAAATTTAGTGAACAGGTTTGAACACACCTTAAATATAAGTATGTTCTATATTATATATTTTTGTTTTAGAAATCTGAATTGAGGGCACTCAGCCTAAGTACAGAATATTTGTTACTTGTGTAACAAATACATTGGGATACTACTTAAGAGGTAGGGTGCATGCCTTTTTATGTATGTGATTCTGAATACAGTTTCAGACTTACACAGAGTATTAAAATGTTGTGGTCATATTAGTTAACTTGGTATTACTGTGGGCAACTAGCTGACAGAACGAATTTAAGGGTATACATACTTATTTTAGGTCATAGTTTCATATAGTCAATAGTTTCTTGACTCTGACCACGAGTAGATCATGGTTGGCAGAAGCACTTTTTATCCTCTAGGTAGGGCATAGCAAAGAAGAGGCTGAGTATCAGGCTTATTCTTTAAAGGTATCTGACAGTAAAAATACATTAAAAAAAAATCTTGAAATTTATATCATCTCAAAAGCATTGACACAATCTTAGAACCAGGCATCCAACACAGAAGTCTTTGAACAATGTTTCAGATTCAAATCGGAATGTACGGTTTTCACATTAAATAGCTACCCCGTTTATTTTTTGTTAAACATACCATGTTCATTTAGAGTTATATGGGTATTTTTATAAAACTATTCAGATTGAAACTGAAGTGCTATCTACTGCCTCAAGAGGGCGATTGCTAATGTATTTATAGTTTTTAACCAACATAGAACCTGTTACCGTGTCTAATCTCAACAATTCATGTTGAAGTGCAGAAATCTCTGGTACACAATTGTTTATAGTTGACATCTGAAATTAAAGCATTTTTGGCCAATAATTCTTGTTTTATCTTTAATTTTTTACATTTTTAGTTAATTGTCACTTAACCCACTACCCTTTTCCTTCAGACCCTTCAATTCTCCCTCCCTCAAATTGATAACCTTTTTCATTATTACAGTTACATGTATACATACAAATATATAAATACAGCCCAATGAGTTAGTTTTTTTTTTTTTTTTGGTGTATATGCAGTTTAAGGTTTGACCACTTTCTCGTGGATTACCAATCTAATTGATTGGAGTTCATTCCTGGAAGAGGGTGATTCAGTACCTGAACAGTCATGTGAATTTCACTGAAATACTCAAAAAGTAAAGACTACCAACCCAAATTTTTGCTTGAGTTAAGCAAGATTTATTTTCTGTCAGGGCTATCACCCAAAGTAGGGGTAAGAGAACAGGCCCAAACAGAAAATTTTTATAGTCCCCAAATTGCAAGGTTAGGAGGTTTCCAGGGGATTTTTAGTTAAGTAGGAATGGCAGAACATCTTAAGACTATTTGGTAGAGCATCTTATCAGAGTGAAGGTCAGGGTATAAGGTGTTGAACATGTCAAATTCCAAAAATGTGGTCAAGGCACAGTCTAACTTAAGTTTTATGGAAAACAGGAATTAACTTATTTTGAGCATTTGATAAGGTGGCTTCTAATCTTAACACCAAGTTAAGCTGCTACATCATTCCCCCATTGTCTTATATGTCCCTTTCAAATCCCTGCTAGGGAACAGTCATTTCTAGCTATTGTATGGGCTGATAGTGCCAACAGAGGACAAGTATCTTAGCACTTTTGTCAGGAGTTAGAATTTGTAACACTTTGGAAGATAGAAGGCCCTGATTGTGAGTAGCATTATGAGGAGTGTTAGGAGCCTGCAGCTGAAGCAAGAGTAGTCCCAGGGGGCCCAAGTGAACAGGGACTGGTACCCATTGTTTCCTCCTGTAGCTTTAAGATTGTTCTTTGTTCTCTATAGAGCAGGTCGAGTATCCTTTCATATTGTAAAACTGCTATAGCTAACAAATCTTCCTATTGATAGGTCTTGATCTATTTAGTTTTAACTTTTTTTTTTTTTTGACAGGGAGCTTGGTATACTAATAGGTATTTATGTAGCTATTTCTTCCCCATTGCCAGGGAGTTTCCTTTCTAGCCTTTGTTGAAGACTAGGGGCAACATATTCCTTTTCAGCCCAAATTAGGATGTTATCAGGGCCCAGAAAGGCTGGAATGTTAGTTAAAGGCTGGGAGGCTAGGAGGGGATTCAGGCAATGGGATATTCATTAGATGCAGCTGGTTCATTGACCCTGCTGAAAAGACAGCAATTATGTCAACTGGGCTGTTTCACACCAGCTTCCAGCAAGCCCAGGGCTCTTTGGTTTGGTGTGGTGTAGATTGACTTTGGAACAGTTTATAGTCTGAAGCTGATTTCTGGTTGGTATCTGTCAGCCAGGTGGAACTCTGCTGGTACAGATAAAGACTAGGAACAGAAGTTAAAGTTAAGGAACTTGAAGGAAAGTCTTTTATTTGGAAATTCCCCCCAGGAATAGGCAATAGTTAAGGATACTTAGGTTGTTGATTGCCATGACAGGAGTATTTATCTGGGGTCCATTTGACATGTGATAGGTGGATTCACGTGACTCTGAAGCTTTTATGAATCCTTAAGTTTACAAAAAAGGACAAACATTTTAGATAAATTAGCATTATTGTGTATAATCTGTACTGAAGCCCACGTCTGTATAACAGCTGGAGTAAATTCATATCATTGAGTCAGCAAAATCTATGGATTTGGATTAAAAAGCCTGAATGTTCATTTCTCTGTCCAGAGGGCTGGATATATATTGATTGGACAGAGATGCTTTTAGCATGATAAGAAACACCTTTAAGTTTAGATGATAACCATAGGAATTTTAAAATCATGAGCTTATGACTGATAATAGTAGTCATTGTTTTGCCAGCTTATCAGAACTCCTATTGATCAATGTTAAAATTTTGAAACTTTGAAATTTTTATGTTTATAACTTGCATTTATGTTCCTTAAATTAGCTTTATATTCATAAAATTTATATAATATATATTATATATGGTATATATATTTATATATTATATATGGTATACACACACACACACACACACACACACACACACACACCTTAATTTTAGCCAGTCATTTAGCATTAGATATGAGTTAGTGATTATTGAGAGCATCATTGCAAAAAAAGTTCTTTACAATAAAGGAATAGAAAAAAGTTAAATTTGAAACCTGTTTATTCTTTAATATGAAACCTGTTAGCAAGGTTAATTTGTGAGTTTTTCACTCTCATCAGGAGACTTAATAGTATAACATGAGAGCTGGGCTTGTTGTTGGGGTTTATGTCCTGCCCAATTTCCACAGCTGGTGAGCCCCTAAAGAAAATCACACAGAGGTCTCCATAAGTTATAAACTGATTGACCCATTAGCTCAGGCTTCAGATTAGCTCTTATAACTTATATTAACCCATTATTCTTATCTATGTTAGCCACATGGCTCGGTACCTTTTTCAGTGGGGGCAGGTCACATCCTGCTTCTTCGGTGATCTGGGCAGGACTGGGGAGCATGGGCTTCCTCCTTCCCAGAATTCTCCTGTTCTCATCGCCCCACCTCTACTTCCTGTCTGGTTGACCTGCCTATACTTTCTGCCTGGCCAATCAGCATTTATTTAAAACATGACTGACAGAATACAGACAATTCTTCCACACCATAATATCTCTAGAAGAGCAAGGTTTGATTCCCATATATGAAATACATTGACTAGGCAGCTGCCGCTTAACAGATAAAGCTACAGTTAACCATCACCACCATCAGAGATGTAAAAAGGATAAATTATAACAGAAGTATAAACCAAATGACCTCTATATCAATTATAATGACAGAGACCATTAACTGCCTGATTACCCTGCGTTCCTCTGGCCTTGATGGCTTAGTTGGGGAAAAGAGGGCATAGATCTTTGACTGTGATATAGGACAGCATTATATCTTAAGTTGCTGTGGAGGACATCATAGGCATTCAGCTATCTGATCCAAAAGGTTTAAGAGATTTTCCTTTGGAGGAGGAACTTGGATAAACTGACTAACCTTGACAAGGCAAAGTAGGACAGTCAACCCAACAGTGTCCCTTGGCAGGGTCTTAGCAGCAGAAGGCAAGGAATGGGGCAGCTCTTTGCCTGGTAGTTAGTGTTGCCACAATCCAAGTGGAGTTGTCTGTGTCATATCATATTCTTCAGAGACCTTAGGGTCTGAGGCAGAAGCTAGCATTTATATCATGGGAAACTTTTCCCATTAAACATTTTAAATGCCATATTTAGCATATATCTGAAAACTTTTGAGGACCATTATCTAGTAAGTATATCTGATTTTAAATAAACTTTGTTTTTAGTTACTTGTTTTAGGCTTAACCTTGAAAATATATTAAAGGCTAAAATTTATTCCTGTGAATAAGTAAAATTGTACTTATGTCTACTGAACATATTACATACTATACTAATATCTTCTGAACATATTAAAGAATTTGGTCAGTTATAAGGTGACAATTAACTTGCATGTTTTAATCATCTTTAACAATTTATAACATTAGTGGCTATTACAAGATAAGAATTTTCATTTTACCCTTTTTAAGTTTAGCCAAAAAATTACAGTTTTGAATTGAAGTTCTTTTAGCATGCAAATAAAATTTAAACTATAAATACAGTTCATATAGAGACTGGAAACTATTTTCCAAAGTTTATCATTATAGAATATCACAGTTTCTTGTATGACTCAGTTTACCAAATTAGCTAAAGCTTAATAAAATTAGAAAAGACACAGAGGTTAGACATATATTTTTAAGTCAGTTTTTGTTAGTCTGAATAGACTTTAGGTAAGGAGAGACGTTTTATATGTTCTTTGTTATACTTCGTAGTTCACTGTCTTGCTGTACTATCAGATGGGAGTTTGATACTCATAGCTGTGGTGTAGCTTATTTTAGTTTTGTCTGATGGTGGTGTCTTATGTGTTGAGCTTTGCAGCCTGAATGGTATGTCCATCATGGAGACAGTTGTGCTAAGGTTTGGAGGCTTGGTGAGATCTGGGGGACCTGTTGTATCTCTCAAGAGAGAAGAAAGAGGGAACAATCATAATCTGGACAAGGCAAGACCAAACTTTAACAGTATAAACAATTCAAAATCTAGAATTTATTCATGATCCTTTGGGTTCCTCTAAGGGGCCCAGGTGACTTCTTTGACTCTTCCTTTGGCAGCATATATAGCCTGTCCCCTCAGCTTCAGCTGGCTTCATCTCATTGTGGCTGCTATTATTATTGACAATAATTTGGCCTTGGCGTCTCTAAAATTGATAGGGTCCCTTCTTGCAACAGGGCTGCATTTTTTTTATTAGCTTCTCCTGGGATCTTTTAGGAACTTCAGTCCTTTCATATAGTGCCAGGCTTCAGTGGTTCTCCATGACTCTTTTATGTCTTTAAAACCAGTGCTGTCTACGTGACTCATATTACCATGTTTCACTGCCAGCACAAGGTGCATTTTTGTATATAAGTACATGGAAGTTCAGCTTTAATATTTTATTAAACAAGAATCATTTAATCTGGACAAAGGTAGCTAAACTGGTTAGTTGAACAATTATAGGAACTTGGTTTTGGGCCAGTCCTTGGAGGTTGGTTTCTGCCCATACCCCAGAAATCTTTGTTGTATAGTTCAATCATACATTTTAACTGGAGACAGGACTTTCAGCTAGGCAGAAAGTATTCTTCTGGCAGAGAGTAACAAAATTAGGTGACTTTTCTAACATAGGACAGAAAATTTTGAACAAACATGCTTGAATCAAGAAGTGGGGAGAAGCCATATTCAACTCTAGAGCCAGTCTTTTAACAGCATAAAACAATATTCCAATATTATGCATACTTAAAAACTGAATCCAGTTGCTGCAATCCTGCCACTGACAGGGTTCAGGTCCTGAGACAGGGAAGGGGGTTCAGCATGAAGAAATGAAGTGTCTGACCAAAGATGAGTTTCACACGAGTGGCCAGCCTCAAATAGCTCCAGCTATTTTATTTATAAATCAAAACAAGTATGTTTTCTATAGTAACAAGGTCTTTTTATCTTCTAGTGTTAACCACCAGCAAAAACAAAAGTGTCAAATATGTTTTTCCCAAATTTTACATCAAAGCATCTTTTTTTTTAAAGGTATACAATCGCTCTATCTGTATGTATGCCTGCACACCAGAAGAGGATATCAGATCTCTTTACAGATGATTGTGAGCCACCATGTGGTTGCTGGGAATTGAACTCAGGTTCTCTGGAAGAGCGGTCAGTGCTCTCAACCTCTGAGCCATCTCTCCTTCCCACATCAAACCATACTTAAACCAAAAGCAACACATCATTTTGCTATCTTGGCCAAATATAGAGTCAGTTATATCCTGTCTTTACAGAACTAAAAGATTATTAAACATAGGCATATATTTTCAATGATAACAATATCAATCAAAACATATTTACAGAAATGGGGGTGATCTGCTTCTGATTATGTCAGCACTGAATTAACAGCTCCTGGGGTCAGAAGTGACAGCTGGCATCTCCAGAGAAGAAACTTGAGAAGTATCAACTTCCAAAGGATTTGAGGGGAAAATATTTGAGAAAAAAACATGGGGCTTTTAGGAATGATCACTTCTATTCCATGCATGATTGACAAAATGACAATGAAAACACTGAAATCACCAGAATCATTACTATCATGAGAGAGAGAGAGAGAGAGAGAGAGAGAGAGAGAGAGAGAGAGAGCGAGCATGCAGGCCATGCAGTCCCAGCACTATTCTTCGCTGTCTCAAAGTCCTCTAGTCTTTGCTGAGTGAGACTGTCCCCATGGGCTTTTACCTCATCTGGAGACCCATTGGGAAGCACTCATATGCTGGCCCGAAACTAGGCTGCATGGCTCCCAAAAGCTAATGACTTTGGAGGGATCCAAAGCCCACCTCCAGTGATATACTTCCTCCACAAAACAGTACCCAGTCGTTTTCAAACATGGGGGCATTCTCTTCTAAACCAGCACATTTATACATTTATGTAGTTCTTCCTTCCTTCCTCCCTCCCTCCCTCCCTCCCTCCCTCCCTCCCTCTTTCTCTCTCTCTTTTCTGTCTCTCTCATTTTAAATATAATGAGCAGAATGAAGAGTAGTCAATTGCAAAATCCTTAATCCTACAAAACCTCCTGAAAGAGCACTTATGACTGTTTTAGAATATTATTTTAGTTAGGCAAGAATGTGTTAGATTTGTTTCTGCTGTGGATTATTACTTTTAACTGTGTAAAGGTGTGTTACTTTTGTTTATGCTTCATTTTTTAATTTTTTTCCTCACTTTATTTTTTTTAAAGAAAGCAAACTATTTCTTTTCATTTTACATTCCAGTTCCAGTTCCAACTCCCTCCCCTCCTCCCATTCTCTCTACCTTTTCCCCATCCCACCCATCATCCACTCCCTAAAGAGGGCAAGACACATTACTCTGAGAACAGACCAAGACCCTCCCCACTATATCCAGGCTGAGCAAGGTATCCATTCAAGGAGAATGGGTTTGAAAAAGCCAGTACAAGCAGCAGCAGGAACAAATCCTGGTGCCACTGCCAGTGGCCCCGCAGTCTGCTGCAGCCATACAACTATCACTCACTTTCAGATGGTCTAGCTTGGTCCTATTCTGGTTCCTTCCCTGTCTAGCCAGAGTTGGTCAGCTCCCATTAGCTCAGATAAGCTGTTTCAGTGGGTGTCCCCATCATGGTCTTGACCTCTTGAAAAGATGTGTTGCATTTATTTCACTTTGCCTGCCTAAAACACCTGATTGGTCTAGCAAAGAAAAGGCATCTTACCGAATGGGAGAAGATCTTCACCAACCCCGCATCAGACAAAGGTCTGATCTCCAAAATATATAAAGAGCTCAAGGAACTAGACTTTAAAATTCTAATTAACCCAATTCAAAATCGGGGTACTGAATTGAACAGAGAATTCTCAACAGAAGAAGTTCAAATGGCCAAAAGACACTTAAGGTCATGTTCAACTTCCTTAGCGATCAGGGAAATACAAATCAAAACAACTTTGAGATACCATCTTACACCTGTCAGAATGGCTAAAATAAAAAAAAACCACCAATGATAGCCTATGCTGGAGAGGATGTGGAGTAAGGAGAACACTCATCCATTGCTGGTAGGAATGCAAACTTGTGCAACCACTTTGGAAATCAGTGTGGCGGTTTCTTGGGAAATTGGGAATCAGCCTACCTCAGGATCCAGCAATACCACTCTTGAGAATATACCCAAGACATGCCCAATCGTACTACAAAAACATTTGTTCAACTATGTTCATAGCTGCACTATTTGTAATAGCCAGACCTGGAAACAACCTAGATGCCCCTCAATGGAAAAATGGATAAAGAAAGTGTGGAATGTATACACATTAGAGTACTACTCAGTGTTAAAAAACAATGACATCTTGAATTTTGCATGCAAATGGATGTAAATAGAAAACACTATCTTGAGTGAGATAACCCAGACCTAAAAAGATGAATATGGTATGTACTCATCATTAGTGGACTCTAGCCATAAACCAAGGATATTAAGCCTATAGTTCACAAGCCTAGAGAAGCCAAATAACAAGGTGAACCCAGAGAAAAACATATATAGATTCGCCTGGAAATTGAAAGCAAATAAGATTGCCGGGCAAAAGTTGGGAGCATGGGGGTGGGGGTAAAGGTGGGGCTGAGGTTGGGGGAAGGGGAAAGGGGGAGAAAGAAGGGAAAGACTGGCGAGAGCTTTGGGGAGAAGGAGGGTGGAGATGGAGGAAGGGTGGATATTGGAGCAGGGAAGACGATATCTACATTAAGCGAGCCATTTTAGTGTTGGCAAGAGACTTGGCTCTAGAGGGGGTCCCAGGTGTCCATAGGGATGTCCCCAGCTAGGTCCTTGGTCAGCAGAGGAGAGGGTGCCTGAACTGTCCTTGCTCCACTATCACACTGATGATTATCTCGAATATCACCATAGACTCTTCATCCAGCAACCGATGGAGATAGAGACAAAGACCCTATCAGAGCAACGAACTGAGCTCCCAAGGTCCAGTTGAAGGGCAGAAGGAGGGAGAAGACGAGCAAGAAAGTCAGGACAGCGAGGGGTTGGTCCACCAACTAAGGCTGTGTGCCTGTTCTAATGGGAGCTCACCAAATCCAGCTGGACTGGGACTGAACGAGCATGTGATCAAACCAGACTCTCTGATTGTGGCTGACAATGGGGAATGACTGAGAAGCCATTGATAAAGGCACTAGGATTTGTTTTTATGGCATGTTCTGGCTTTTGGGGACCCTAGTCTATATGGATGCACAGCTTCCTAGGCCTGGATGTAGAGGGGTAGGGCCTTGGACTTCCCACAGGGCAGGATTCCCTGCCCTCTCTCAAGCAGGAAGGGGGAGAGAGGAGGGTGAGTAGGGGAGCAGAAGGGGATTGGGAGGAGGGGAGAAAGTGTAAATTTTTGAATGGAAAAACAAATTCCTGTAGGGGACATTCTGGAAGGCAATATGACTAAAATGTAATTAAGATTTGAATTCACCCTATCCACATGTGCCTCCTGTAATTTTTCTTCAATAGCAAACAATTTCTTTTCCCCTTCAAAAAAAAAAAAAGACTGAACAGCCAATATCTAGCCTGGAGAAAGGATAGGTGGAGCTAGCAGGCAGAGAGAATAAATAGGAGGCGAAATCTAGGCTTGAGATAAGAAAGGGTGAACAAGGCAAGAAAGAGGAACAAGAAAAGGAGAGGATGCCAGGAGTGGGCAACACAGTCATACAACCAGCCTCAGATTAAGAAGGAAAGAAAGATACATAGAATGAAGAAAGATAAAAATTCCAGAGGCAAAACATAGTTAAAGAGAAAAGGGGTAAGTTAGAAAAGCTGGCTAGAAACAAGACAAGATGGGGCAGGGCATTCCTACATCAGCATAAGTCTCTATGTATTTATTTGGTAGCTGGGTGAAGGGTTCCTAAAGAATAAAACCAAAATGAAACAAACCAGAAACACCTGGCTCCTGCCCAGAATTGTGGGACACCAGTTAGTTATAAGTGC